GGTCCTAATTTAGCTGGCCGGCACCTCTGGGCCAGCTAAATTAGGACCCCACCTGGAGCTCCTCCAACCGGACCAGCGCACACTCGTCGCTGCTCTCCCGCACAGTGAGTGAGGGCAAGGGTGGGGGGGCCTGTTAAAGCAGGGACTAATTGTAAATCTATGGTCTCCAGTGTATAAGCAGTGTGTACCCTATATGTAATATATGTAATGCTAGGCCTATCTAACTCCTCAGCCTGCGGGACTGACACCTTTTTGCTATTTTCCATCTCCAGGTACGTATGTATAAATGAGCGCTTGTTATCCATAGATATTGGAGATCCTTCTCCCGGCAGATTGTATAATACAGCATAATATTGCTGAAAAACTTCCAATATCTTAGAAGTATGTTGGACCATTTCTCCCGAAGTCCCAACTTTGATATACAGGTCCGGGTTCTTTGTTTTTGTAGTGCCCTTGCCAACATTTTACCACATTTATTACCATGTTCATAAAATGTATGAGATATAGATCTTGCACTTTTACGCACCCGTTCTTCTAATAATCTAGTTAGAGCCAACCGCACAGAATCTAAATTCTGCTCATCTATAGATGAGCCATTTTTCTTAAGTTTTAATTCTTCCACTCGTAATTGTTCTAATAATGTAGCCAACTCCTTCTTTCTGGCCTTATTCAAATACGAGCCCCTTGAGATCAGTTCTCCCCTAATAACTGCCTTATGACCCTTATAGGGAGTGTTTAAGTGAGTAAATTAGTACAGGCAGTCCCAGAGTTACATACATCCGACTTACATACGACTCCTACTTTCAAACGCATGCTATTACTGTATAGCAGGGGTAGTTGTAATGCTGACGAGGAGTGCCCATCTTTTTGGGTCTTGTAGTACTGAACGTACATTACAGGAAGTTGGCTCTTGTTAGACGTGCAGACGAGGGGTGCCCGCCTCTTCTTCCGGGTCACTGTGAGGTTTTTATTGCTGTCTGTATCCTCATTAGAAAGATTTAATCTCACTTCCTCTCCTTGAGAAAACAGGAAGTGAGAGGAAATCTACCCCTAGGAAGGGAAGTTCATTTCTGTAAGAGTGATTATGGGATAAAGGTGTCTCCACTGAAGCTTTATCACCAATCCTTGTTTCCACGACAACCCAACATTTTCAAAATCCAATTGTCACAGGGACAGAAAGTGAGGTGAGATCTTCTGAACAGGGGCACACACAGCAAAACAAACCTTACAAGGGGTTAATCTTTCTCTATGCTATCCAAAAGTAAAACAAAAAACTTTTTTTGGCTGGAGTTACACTTTCAAAAAAAAATTACCAGTTCCAACTTACATACAAATTCAACTTAAGAACAAACCTACAGTCCCTGTCTTTTTCGTAACCCGGGACTGCCTGTATTGATGTATTATTATTACTGTGTAATAAGTATTGAAGTATAATTAATATTGATGTATGATGAGCTGGGATTTGTAGTCCCCTATAGCTGGTGGTATTCTGCAATGCAGTATAATGTATTGCTGGGATTTGTAGTCCTCTATAGCTGATGGTATTATTCTGCATAGCTGTATAATGTATTCCTGAGATTTGTAGTCCTCTATAGCTGGAGATATTCTGCATTGCTGTATAATGTACTCCTGAGATTTGTAGTCCCCCTGCAGTTTGGGAGTCGGTGGGAGAACTACTATGGTTGCAGTGCTTGCAGCTGCGACCGGGTCCTTGCACTCTACTGCTGTCCTAATATCATTAGTCTATATTGTGTTGGAAAAACTTTCACACGACACTAAAACATAAGTATTGGTGTGGGTGAGTACTTGAAGAAAAATATTGGTACTTGTACTCCC